GTTGATAAAGCGTTTTCTGAAAGGTGTACGGAGACACAGACCGGTGTCACGTCCACTAGCTCCACAGTGAGACCTAATGATGGTCCTGCACACTCTGATCAAAGCTCCTTCTGAGCCTTTAGATAAGGTTTCGCTTTAATTTTCTGTTCTTTAAAACAGCCCTGCTGTTAGTTCTGATGTCAGCGAGGGAGTGAGTGATTATCTGCTCTCTCTGTTGCTCCCTCATGTCTCAGAATTCAAGCTGACAGCAGTTCAGCTGTACTGCGTTTTAACCCTGCTCTGAAAAGCATCACAAGCTCATTCAGATCGAGAGTGATAACCTTAGATGGGTTCTTATCATCCTCCTCATAATTCTGAGGAGGAAGCAACATCTCACCTCCTCTGTCCCGTGCGCGCGTGTTCGTGTTACGTGGTGCACACGGCCGCACTGCGCCACTCTCAGCATCTGTGCGTGCATTACAGGGACAGCTGTGGAGGCTATTGACTACTTATCATGACTTCCTGTTCAAGGGGTGGATAATGATCCATCATACTAATTTACTGGTACACCTCGGTTCAAAACTGTGGAATTTAGAGCCAAATGTATGGCGACGGCATTGCGTCTTACTTCGCCACGCTGCCCACATGCTCCACCCAAAACTGTCAGTGTTTGAAAGCAAGTTACACCAACATGTCTTTGGTCACTGGACACACTATCATGCTGATCAGGTAACGGGTCAGATAGGGATCGCTCAACGTAAAACTTTATACTTCCTGTTGTCAGGGGGCGTGGCTTAAGTGCTGTCATGATTTGACCATTCATTCTTGCAGGAAACCAGATGTGGATCAATCACTTAAGGTTTGGTGTCTCAGACAGTTTTCTTGTAGGAGCTATTAGCGTTTCGTTTTTCATAGCGAGATGTCAAACTTTGAGGTCTGGCCCCGCCCCTTCCGCATGCTCCGAAATGAACCGTTTAGATAATTTTGCGTCCCCCACGCCTTTTGACCAAAATGGCCAAGTTTGAATCCGATTGATCGAAATCCCTAGGAGGAGTTTGTTCAAATGCGGAGGTTGTAAACTGCCAAAAACGTGTGAAAATTGGGCCGGCATTCCAAAATGGCCACCTTCCTGTTTATCGTACAATGTTGGTGCCAGAGGGTTTTCTGTGCATCTTGGGGAATTGGACAAGTGTACCGAATTTCATGTTTCTATGACAAACTAAGGTTAGTGCAGAGGGTATTTTGAAAATTTCTAGGTTGCGCTCTTGAGCCGTTTCTGTTGTAATTTTTGCCACGCGCTTAAAATGCTTAATTTTTCACCAGTCCTGATGCATCCGCCAAATTTGGTGACTTTTGTCATATATTAAGGCCCCAAAAACGCCAATTCATTTGGCGGAAAAAATTGCTGCTCGGGCCTGAACAGAGCAATTACAATAGGCCTTAGCAGCGTTTCGCTGCTCGGGCCTAATAATTTGAAAGTACCATATTTTCCGTCGTACAAGTCGCACTGCCCTATAAGTCGCATCAGTTCAAATTTTTCTAATAAAGTGGAAAAATCCATAAATACGTCACATCTATTATGCGTCACCGATGACGCGTCGAGTTTGTTACGCGTCACCGATGACAACCTGGAAACATGGGCCGGTGTGCCAAAAATCAATTAGTTGCCGAATGGCAAACGCAGGAGCGTGCACGGGAGGACTTCAACAAGGATTTAAAAAGATTAACACTTAAAAACAATTGTTTGTTTGCTCGAAATAATAGTAAAGGTGTGTCTCAGTCTAATTTTTGCTTAATAAACGCAGTCAAATCGGCTGCATTTCAAAAGTCAGTCAGCCTCCCCGCCATCACAGACATCTACACCTCCAGATGCAGGAAGAGGGCCACCTGCATCATGAAATACCCCACACACTCAGCACACACACTTTTTGCCCCGCTCCCCTCAGGCAGAAGGCTGAGGAGCATTAAGTGTAGAACCACCAGACTGAGAAACAGCTTCTACCCTGAGGCTGTTAGACTCATGAATCTCTAACCAAGAAAATTACTGTGAAAAATCACTGTAATGCCGCTTGGTTGTTGTTATGTGCTGCTGACTATCCATGATGCTGATATGCTGCTGATTATTCCATGTTGCTGTGTTCATTAATTCTCATCTGCTCACACAGACTCAGGTTCGTGCCGCTGTTGTTTTGGCACATTGTTTTTTGTACTATTAGTGCTTAGTGTATTCTTAGTTTAGTGAATGTAGTATATTCTTAGTTCATGTCTTGGATCTTACTACTGTTTTTCTTTACAATTTATATTTTTGTTGCATGTAACTGGGACCCTATGTACATAGTTTCATTCCACCTCATGTAACACATGTGATGTGAATGACAATAAAAATCCTTGAATTGTTGGAAGTAGAAGCGTGAACGGGACGACTCGCTGTGCATTTCTTTGAAATTTAACAAGATAAGCACGTAAAACAAATATGTGTTTGCTCGACATTATAGCAAAGGTGAGTCTCAGTTGAACTTTTACTTAATAAATGCACTTTAATGGTCAAATCAGCTGCATTTCTCCGGGGCGGCGCAGCGAAATGAAGCTGATTTTATGGTTGCTCCAAGCGAGCTGGACGAAGGTGGCAGGCTGTGGCAAGCTGATTGTGTCATTAATAGCCACTTTTACCTATTACATAACACAATGGCATGCCATACTACTCAAGTGCCATCTAGCGGCTGAAAATGGTAGTGTTCAATATTTTCAGTGAGAATGAATGAAAACGGTCATATAGCTCAGCCAAAAATTGGTTTATAAATATGGGGAAAAATCCATAAATACGTTGTTTTGACGTATAAGTCGCAGGGCATGCAAATTAAACAAACAAAAAAAACAAACCCAAAAACTTGAGTTATAGCCAAAAAATATGGTACATATATTTTATCCACAAAGCAACATGGTAAGTATGTATGGTATGTAGGACTGCAACTAATGATTATTTCAATCATCGATTAATCGGCTGATTATTTCTCCGATTAATCGATGAATCTGCCAAAAATAAACAAAAGAAGTTCTAATTTCCACCTCTTTCTTCCAAAATTGAACATTTGACGGACATAGCAAATTTCACAAAAAACTGGTTACTATTTGACTGTTCTGTTAGTCAAATATTGAACATTATAAAATAAAAAAGTTTGTCAAATAGCTTCAATAAAAAAATTATTGTACACAAAAATATATACAAATGTCAGAGTCAGAGATTCTTTATTGTCATTCGCACCTCATGTGGTACATGTGGTGGAGCGAAATTATGTTCACAGGGTCCCAGTTACATCCAACAATAAAATGTCTATAAGAAAAACAGTAATAACATCTAAGATATGAACTAAGAAAAACATCAACTAAATATACACTAAGCACTCATAACATAAAACATTGAACATCAGCACAAACATGAACATGAGTCTGTGAGCAGATGTGCACGCATGAACACATCAACATTGAAACAGATCAGCAGCAACATGAAACAGATCAGCAGCAACATGAAACAGATCAGCAGCAACATGAAACAGATCAGCAGCAACATGATATGGTTTTTCACAGTGATTATTCTAGTTAGAGATTCATGAGTCTAACAGCCTCAGGGTAGAAGCTGTTCCTCAGTCAAATGTATCTTTATTCCTGCACAATATGTAGCTACTTTGTAAAATGTCATTGAGGGAAGAGTGTAACCTGGATTAAAAGTGTGGATTATTGTAACCTGGATTAAAAGT